TCAGCAGGATTTTGCTCACCAAATGCTTTTCTCACTCCATTTAGGCAACTACAGATGTGGACAGCCTGTCGATCACAGACGCAGAAATCATCACCTCTTCGCAGGGGCTCTGCACGCCGGAGCCCTGAACACAGCACAGCAAAGGCTGCTCTACGGACCAGCTCTCCAAGGCAAACGCTCTGTTTCACAAACATGTTTTTCAAATCCTCTAAAAGCTTCCAAGACAACTTTTTGCTAACTTCAGCATCAATTTTTCTAACGCAACAGCTTTCTTGTTGATCCTGTAGGTCGTTTGCTCAAGCTAAGCTACGCTGTGTGCGTGTTCTTCCCAAGAATCTACAAGCTTTAGCTTCGTGCCTTTACCAACTTCAAGATACCTGGAAATCAATGGCAAAATTATAAGCTTTCCAAATCCTTCCAGGAAAGCTTTTTCTAGAAATCATTGCAGAGGACCACAAGATGTAGATTAATTAGGTAACAAGACCTACAAAAGCCTGAGTTACCATAATACCAGTTCAGACACTTTGATGAGCCCTAGACACCCAGGGATGTTAAATACTCTTGGAAAAAAAAACTTGTAATAGGCAGCACCTCAGAACGCACAAAAAGCTGCAGAGAAAAGCCAATGGATTTTGTAATAACTACGCAAATTTAGTGTAGATTTGCGATCCACCAGGTATTCGCTGAGTGGGAAATACACCAAAGCAGCTAGTTACGTGTTGCCTAGCCACAGACTGCAATATGAATAGTTTCCCTGCAGGTAAATCACTTTCTATTACTTCTAAGTACCCCAGGAAAAATACTAATTGAAAACACAGTTCTAATACTGTCCAGCTGGAAAACATTAGCTTAGGATGGAACTAGCTTGACGCTGGCTGCCAGTTGGCTAGGCACAATGGAAAAGGAAATTAATCTCTTGCAGACAAGACATCCCATTTTCCACTTCTCCTTTGTAACCCTCAAATAAACTCGTTATTAAGCAAAGGCTTTGATTCCCATGGGGAAAGAAAAACATCAACGCATTTATGATAACAGAAGTCTGGATTTCTTGCACTAAAACGAAGGCTCTCAAATTTTGACACAGAGAAAAGCAGAGCAAGTGGAGAACAGCTTACAGTTCAACTACGTAGCAACATTTCTCTTCACTCTTTTCTTGGCTAATAATTAAAGAACAGACAAAACACAAAGAAAAGTGCAGTTCCACAATTCTGTAACATCCCAGCCCATCTTCCTGCAGCTCCCTCCTGCTAAGAGTTTTTCTCCCATGCAGGTGCAAAAGGGCTGAGGAGAAACACCAAAGCTGACCCCATAGATATTGAGACTGCTTTTTCACTTCTATTTGAATTCATTTATAAGCAGCATCCAACAGGCCAGATTATTTGCAGCCCTGAGGAGAAGGACTTGGGGGTTCTGGTGGATGAGAAGCTCAACACGAGCCGGCAATGTGCGCTGGCAGCCCAGAAAGCCACCCGTACCCTGGGTTGCATCAAGAGCAGCATGGGCAGCAGGGCGAGGGAGGGGATTCTGCCCCTTGACTCCGCTCTCATCAGACCCCACCTGGAGTCCTGCGTCCACCTCTGGAGCCCCCAGCATAGGAAGGACATGGATGGGTTGGAGCGGGGCCAGAGGAGGCCACGAAGATGATCCGAGGGCTGGAGCACCTCTCCTCCGAGGACAGGCTGAGGGAGCTGGGGCTGTTCAGCCTGGAGAAGAGAAGGCTCCGGGGTGACCTTAGAGCAGCTGCCAGTACCTGGAGGGGCCGACAGGAAGGATGGAGAGGGGCTTTTCACAAGGGTGTGCAGCGACAGGACAAGGGGGAACGGCTCTAAACTAAAAGAGGGCAGATTTAGATTGGATATTGGGAAGAAATTCTTCCCCAGGAGGGTGGTGAAACACTGGCCCAGGCTGCCCAGAGAAGCTGTGGCTGCCCTCTCCCTGGCAGGGTTCAAGACCAGGTTGGATGGAGCTCTGAGCAACGTGATCTGGCGGAAGACGTCCCAGCCCATGGCAGGGGGGTTGGAACCAGATGATCTTTAAGGTCCGTTCCAACCCAAACCATTCTATGATTCTATTTCAGAAGCATCATTCCCAAGGTTGCTCATAACTCACAAGCTTCCCGAGCCTCCTCTCCTCCATATGATTTCAACTTGGCTGAAACATTCCAGGCTTTCACATATACATTTATCCCCTATCCAAATTCTCCAAGATGATAAAAAAGCCCATACAAATCCCCCCAAAACTGAGTGACTCTCCTTGTCATTGAAAAGCATCCTCGTTCTGCACCCAGATCTTCCAGCAGATGAAGTTACCTGCGGGCATAATCGTCCACGTTCCTGACTTGCCTTCAGGTTACTGTAGAAGGTTTGTGCTCCCTGCCTGAATCAGATTGTCTCGTTTGTGCTTGAAGTTGATTACGAAACATTTGTGTGAGTTACCACCACGGAGGGCAACTGGTGGTTGCTAACGATTTCTGGGTCTTAAAAAGGACATCTGTCCACAGTCTTACTTCTTAGGCTTAAAACCGGCTTCTCCACCCGTTGTTGAGTAACCCAAGGAGGTCAGGCAAGTGAGATATGGAAGATGACAGCAGACAGGTGAAAGCAAGGAAGCGTAGCTGTGAGAGACAGAAATATGAAATCCAGTCTGCGGCGCTGCCTATGGCAGCACTTCAAGAGAGAAGAGTTCACCATTCCTATAATCAAAGAAAAAAATGAGAAGAAAACAAAAAGCAGGGAGGTACGGAGAAGAAAGGGAACAACAAAGCCCAAAGGAAAAAGGGAAAAGCACTGCCAAGCTGCACCACAGGAGAAATAACACGCTAATCAGAACTTCAGAGCTCCAGAGTTTACTATCTTCTCCGTAGTTCACGAGCGTGGACAAACTTGTCAGAGGGATAAAAAGCTGGGGACGGTTTTGTTCTGGCCTGATCCTAAAGGAGAGGTGCTTTTAGCTACCTTATTTCCAGAAACTGGGGAGAGGGGAAGGGAACTGCCCCCAGACAGACAGACAGCAACCCCAAACCAGCAGCAGCCAGGCTCCAAGCCTTGCAAACCCGCCTCCAGCCCGACGGGAACATCCATACGCATCCCACGGCTTCTTCGACGAAGCAATGAAAGAAAAAGGCTGCTTCTAATTTGTTGAGTGACAATCCAATTTCACAAGCGTGTATTTCAAAGTCTTGGGGAGCTATTAGCAGCTAATGACTTCCAACGCCTACCGTCCTCCAAACACAAGCGTGGAAATGGTAAAAAGGCAGCAGAACTGACTGATCTGGAGTCAAATGAAAGTCAGCGGGGAGCAGAACCGCTCAGAGGCTCCAAGGAGAGGTCCCAGAGACAGGTCAGCTCAGCTGCCCAGCCACTCAATTACCCCAAATTACTGAGCGCCTTTGTGAATTTTACGGGATTTTTCACTACCCTCCAAGGGTCACCTCTGCGAAACAGGGACAATAATCCCTGCCTTCAGAGCAGGGTAACGATTAACTCGTCAAGCACTCAGATCTAGGGCAATGACAGGAACCACACAAGCTTGGGACGAACGGTTTGGATGGAACATGGTAAATAAGCAGGGCAAATCATGAAACTAAGACAATATATTGAAAAGCTTCTTCTACTTCGTGTCCACCCAGAACATGCTGCAAGGCCCCGGTCAAGTGGAAAAAGCGTTACAGCTTGCCATGAAGGACCTAATATTCACACATAAATAAGGAAGAGCTAAAGCTACACAGGTAACCTTCATTCTGGCATTTCTTGATACCAAGGCCAAGACTTCAATATTATTACTCACCAAACAGAAGTTCTCGGGTCAGATTGTTTTCATGTGCTTCACAGTAATTAAAATACACACTTTTTTATTTAATAGAAAAGCATAACCTGCTTTCTTGTCACAGTGATAGAAGGTGAGAAACTTTGTGCCTGGACTAATGAGGAAGATTTCCAACAAACTGAAGTCTGAGTAAAATAAAACAGCTACCTGAGACAGGAAGCAAAAATACTCAGTGTTCTCAGGTTCTTAATTTTTTCTTTCTCTATACGAGTCTGCTAGTCAAAGCATCACGTTAAAAAGATCCTTTAGTTCATTAGTCTCCTTTTAAATATGCTTTTCCTAAAAATATAACATGTTGTGCCTAAGAACATGCCAGCCTGGTGTAAGACAATGACTTCTCCACACTCCTATTTGCTCATCACAAGATGTATTTGAACATATATTTATAATCAGAAATATGTTAACACTATTACAGTACACAGACTTGATTATACTCCTGTTTGCTTTGAGATATCACAGAAAAATGGTTTCTATTTGCAGCACCTATAGCTATTTCTAGCCAAATGTTTTACTCTGTCAAGCTGCATTCTCCTCTGTTCCGAGGTGTAAAAGCTAACAAGGCAAACACAAAATCTCATCCCCTGCAAACACTGTAACTTCTATCTAAACCAGCCCAAAAGTTGTAAACGCGTACCTGAAAGGATAAAAGCAAATATGAACAATATCTGCCAGCCCTCCTGGACGTACGGTTTCTTGCAAGTATATAACAAATAGAGGATTTGGGATTATTGCGTTAAGCACTGTTTAAAACAAGCATTCACGATTAATTGTGGTAAGGACCATCCTTCAAGCACCAGCTCTCACCTTTATGCTTCCCCCAATGAGATCTGGCGGCTCTTCATCTGTTTCTAAGGCAACGTTGATGGAGGCGAAGGGGCGACTTGCCATCTGTTGCATCTCGCGGAGTAGTTGCTAATTTAATAAACAGAAAAATATTATTATCGTATTGTTTCAACACAGAGATGAAAAAACCCACACGTATCTGAGCGGTTTTACCCAATACAAAGGGATATTAATGAATATAGAAAAATAACCTCTCAGTGTTTTAAAGGGCTTAAGCGTACCCACGGATAATTGTAAATATTCACATTACTACAACTTAACAAGTTATTGCAAGTAAAGCTGCACCACACAGTCTCAGCCCGGCTCGTCTAGGAGGTAAAATGCATCCGCCTAAGTCTCCATAAAGCAGTTATTGACTTTTTAAGCTGTGATATCCCCGTTGTTTGTCTGGGGCCTGACAGGACTCCACAGGACTTGTGGGAACTGTTTTAAAATTAAACTAGCAGCAGCATGAAACTACTGTAAGGAAGAAATTGATATTTTTTATAAAAGCGCTGGCAAAATGCTGTCAGGCATCTACTGAATAATCATAATTTTTTATTGTTTGTTTCCTTTCTGAATGCAGCAAGCATGTCCTTGTTGCAATGATTGATTAGAACAGAAAACCTTTTCCCGGGTAAATCTCTGCAAGCCTCCATGACACAAGACATCTTTTTCTTGTGCTCTTCAGCACTTTTAAGCAATACGACGCAGCTCCCTTTTATTAACACACACAAAAAAAGACAACTTTCTATACAGCTGGGCTGGAAACAGCATTTCAATTTTAGCTGAGCCGTGGCCACGCTTCTCGTTGGCTTCAGCGGCTGGTGTCCCACAACCATTTTTGGCAGCAAGCGGAGGCAGGAGCCAGAACCCCAAATCCCTGCAGCAATTGCTCTGACGGGACTCGGTGTCCCCCTTTATCACGAGAAGAGGCACACATTTTGGGGAGCATGTAAAAAGCCAGCGGTCTTACCCTGCTGCAACCGCCTAAACCCACTTGTTGCACGCAGCTTTACACATTTAGCGTTCCTGCTTCGCTGCAGCAATACCCGTTGTACTCTGTTTTTAAGCAAGACTGAGCCGCTACCAAACGCCTGGCTGTACTTCCCACCATCGCTACCCGCTTTTCCTCATTAATTCTGGGCAATTTGACAGTCCAAGCCCTAACTGCTCATTGACAGCACTCAAAAAGAGCTACAGAAAACACCACGAAGCGCGCCGTGCCCCGGATAACCCAGCCCAGCCGCAGAGGACACAGGACACCGGCGCAAGGGAGACGCTGCTATCCAGCACGCAACTCGTTCGGACAAAACTAAGCACACCACCATTTTCTTGGAGCCATGAACCTTCTCCGGTCTTCTCTCTAGCAAGTAATCTTTTAGTTTTGGGGTTTTTTTTTTGCGTAGAAAACTGGAAAACTGTCTCTGTAAGCTTGGGGTTCAGGCAAGGTGGCAGGAAGGTACGATGAGGATGATGAAACTAAGCTTGGCAAGAGTATATAAGCCTCTACGCTTCTCAATCTAAATAAAAAAAAAAAAAAATCACATACCACTGCCATAGAAGCCAAGTGGCAAAGTTTTGCTTAATTTCAGAAAGAAAAAAAAAACAACCCAACAAAAAAAAGCATTTCGGAGCAGATTGTAGATACTGTCACACAGCAAAAAAACCCAAGGAATTCACACACACGGAGCGGTACCAAGCCTTTGCAAGCAAACTTGGGTGTAACTCACACTTGGGTAAAAGAACACGAGGAGTTCTCGAATATTTAAAGCACACCAGCAGATTGCAGACTCCAGCATGTGAGAAACAGATTGCTGGGTTGCTGTTCCTGCAATTGTCCTCTTCGGCTATCATAAAGCGCTTTGTTTAATGGCTATAAAACCAAAGAACAAGCTGTCCTGATGAAGATCACAGAATCACGGAATGGTCGGGGTTGGCAGGGACCTCTGGGGGTCACCCAGCCCAACCCCCTGCCCAAGCAGGGTCACCCAGAGCAGGCTGCACAGCACCGCGGCCAGGCGGGGCTGGAATATCTCCCGGGGAGGCAGCTCCACAGCCTCCCTGGGCAGCCTGGGCCAGGGCTCCGTCACCCTCAGAGGGAAGAAGTTCTTCCTCGGGTTCAGCTGGAGCTTCCTCTGCTTCAGTTTGTGCCCGTTGCCCTTTGCTTTCGGGGCTGTCCCAAACTCAGCTGAGTCTCAGCGTTAGCAGTGGCCAAACTAGGTAAAAACCAAAGGTACAAGTGGCAACCAAGCCAGCAAATGCTTAATGGAGAACATCCTTTTCCTAACATCAGTTTCTGGCGTAGCGTTAGTCATGGTACAAGCTTCCCCCCCAAAATTACAAATAAATTTGAGAAATAATTGTTCTGTAACCAGAATGTCACCCTTTCCCCCAAGGCATGCACTGCACGTGTTTAACCTGTGCACGTCTGTATCCCTCGGTATTTGTACGGTGTGTCAAAATTTTTAATTAAAAGGTTTTATGTTTTAAGGGAGAAATTGTGGCATTTCCCTAGCCAAGATGTAGAGCACGTCATTAGAAATCAGCAGCAGTTAACATCAAGATACCCAGAACCCGGCTTACCCTCACTCCTAATCACTCGCTGTCTGAGACTTCAAATAATGAACCTCCACGCTCTTTGAACCAAACCTTGGGTTTCCAGATCACACAATTAATAGGACAACCTGGGAATATTTTACATCACTTAGGTCTGAAGAGGATTTTAAAGGCAAAATGTTTGACAGGCTCACAACAAAAACACATCAAAAAGCGTGTACTGGAACGCGCCACTGCCCTTTAATATTTAAGTAACTGCAAACTACACAGTGTTCCTTTGCACTGAGTTTGATGAGTTTTTTCTTCACTATCAGCAGAAAAACTCCTTCAAAACCAATGACAAGTTAAAGCAAGTGCAGAATGGGGAGCGTTGAAACAACGCATGAAGTTTTGGATGCAGCCAGACACTAAGAGAACCTGAAAACAAACCAACCCAACAGAGGGGCGACGGTGGAGAAGCAAAACAGCAGTGAGGACAGGGGACCACCAAGGTCGCTCATCTCCCAGCATCTAGGACTGGAGGTGCAGGTCCATGAGCGAACGGTGCAAAAATGCAGGGTTTCATACCAGTGATCCTTGAAACTCATACCTGGTGAGTAATCCACAATCTTGGGGAATCCAAGATGAGTAGCGTCTTACTGACGGGAGAGAAACTGGCAGAGGAATTGAGGAAAACCTTCTGGTGCAGTAGCACAGGCTCTCACGCAGAAGAAAAACAGCCACTCAGGTTACCAGGTTAATTGACTAATGTAACCTATGCTGTGCTTTCTGACAGGAAAAGCCCGAACGTTTGATTCACGGTAATAAAGCAGTCCCCGGTGCCTGTACAACCATCCGGCTACCACCCATCTCGGCAACTGCCCCCCGTAGAGTCCCTCCTACGAGCACAGGGCGACGGTACCTTCGGAATGGGGCTCCGATATTTTCAGGCATGAAAGGAGGCTGATTGTTCCAGCAGGAAGCCACACAGCATCACAGAATGGTCGGGGTTGGAAGGGACCTCTGTGGGTCACCCAGCCCAACCCCCTGCCCAAGCAGGGTCACCCAGAGCAGGCTGCACAGCACCGCGGCCAGGCGGGGCTGGAATATCTCCAGAGAAGGAGACTCCACAGCCTCCCTGGGCAGCCTGGGCCAGGGCTCCGTCACCCTCAGAGGGAAGAAGTTCTTCCTCATCTTCAGCTGGAGCTTCCTCTGCTTCAGTTTGTGCCCATTGCCCCTTGTCCTGTCGCTGGGCACCACTGAAAAGAGCTTGGTCCCATACTCCTGACATCCACCCTTCAGATTTTTGTACTCACGTTTTGGATTTTCTCTGCTCCTTAGAAAGAACGGCTTTAAAAAAAGCTAAGCAAGACAGCTATCTAGAACTTATAATGAACTCAAGTTTTTCCATGAGTATTTCATCTCAATTTTCAACAGAGATGAGAATGACAACAGTAGAAACTTGAGGAGGAAAAAATCATGGGCGTGCTAAGTGAACAACAGGCACGGATGAGCTTTCATTTTAAGGTAGAGTAAAAGCAAAGCAAGCGGAACCCCACAAGAAAGGGAGCAAAGCTACATCCAGCAGACACAGAATCACAGAATGCTGAGGGTTGGCAGGGACCTCTGTGGGTCATCTAATCCAACTCCCGTGCCGAAGCAGGGTCACCCAGAGCAGGCTGCACAGGACCCCGTCCAGGCGGGTCTGGAGTATCTCCAGAGAAGGAGACTCCACAGCCTCCCTGGGCAGCCTGGGCCAGGGCTCCGTCACCCTCAGAGGGAAGAAGTTCTTCCTCATCTTCAGCTGGAGCTTCCTCTGCTTCAGTTTGTGCC